AACATCAGAATCCGGTCCACACTTCAAGTCAAACGTCAGTAATGACACAAAACCCAATGGCAGAGCTACACAAAAATACAAAACCAGAAGCTGTACAGAACTACACCAGTGGAAGTTGACCTATGATTCACAATAATACCAATATCATAGTCAAGACCAATGACGGCTAAATGGGCTGTCTGACGAGTACTACATGACTGTCCAATCACTCAGTTCAGTGTATTCTCCACCAGAGGGGTTTACTTGCCGTCCTTTGCGGAGAAGTCATTTGTTTAGCTGTTATTCGGTTGTTTTCCAATAACATAGGTTATATTGAATTATTATTATTATCAAGTGTCAAAACTGTGTCACTGTCAGGTCCTGATGTGTTCTGTTGAATATCGATAAATTCCTTTACTTTTTCGGATTTTCATTCAATCAAGCATTCTTTCTTTGTGTTTAGTTCTGGTAGTTTATTTATTCAGGTTTGCTAGTTGTGTCTTCATCTTCATCATGTATTTACAGCCTTCTAGCGTATGAAATGAAATGTATGAATAATCGTATCAAATATGGGGTTTGCTTTTTCGAATCTCATACCCAGTGATAAACTCCCACAGCAAGAATGGTCGAATTTTATTTTGGAAGGCATTGGTAAGAATATGATTTTTCATGTACACTTTTCTGATGATTTTCAATTTTAGCCTCAATTCCACCATTAGAACACTGGTGTTAATTCTGGTGTTGAAGTTTGTGTCAATGATTTTGGAAGACACTATAGAGTGATGATCAATAGCACTACATATGGCGACTTATCAGGATGGGGACATACATTCAGAAAGGATCGCTTACCATAATTTTCAAGGTATGTTTAGTCTGCATTGTTGTTGCGTAGCTATAGGTAGGGTACGAGTAGTATTGTTGAAAACTGTTTCATGTGAGCCTGATGGTTCAAGCCATCAATGCAACGTATTCAAACTTAAATTACCATATACTTACAGGATGGGCATCTCAAAAAGCAACACCAAGAATGAAAGAGGAATAGAATTTGAGGTATGCTCTATGAATCCCAGAGAATCATCAGTCTAGGCCAACATCTGGAGTTTTTTCGAGTGCCACAACTACAATTTGAGGTATTTTGTGTTCTTGCTTCCTGGCAAATATCACAGAATGATGATACTATCAGAGATTTTCAAAAATGTTTTTCACTGCTGTGATGATTTTGTCACAAAAAATTCAAATTAATTATTTGGTCTAAGTTTATGTATTATCTATGCCCATCTATCAATGAGATCCTGTATAGCTTTCTTGTTTCCTTGATAGAAGTATGAGATGGTATGTGAAATAAGGTAAAATGTTGTCACTGATACTAGCCCACTAACTATAGCTTCCCCAAGTAGATCCAAAAAGATGAAAAGAGTGCAAACTCAACTTTTGAAATGCATATAACTATTTCTGTCTATACAAAGTTTTAAAAATGGTTGAAAAATATGGATTGATAGATAGATGATATGTATAGAAAGCATTTATTCAAGTAATATAAAAATTTTATTCCATAGACAGTCACCATAATAAACAATTTCCTTTTCTATTAAATTAGCTGATGATGAGCTTATATTTGAACTCAAAACATGCTTCTTCTCTGCTGATTTCTAAACAGATAATAGAAATTGTGGGATACACAATAATATATCATCTTCCTCTTTTATTTCCAGTGTCCAAAGGATCTCCAGGTAACCTAGCTTCATCCTCCAAAATCAAGATCCCATATCCAAGCCGTTTTATATTCATTGTGTTGCCATCCCCAGAACCTATAAAGAAATGTTGCTATAGAACATTCAATGATTTTGAAGCTGGCATAGTTCTATCAATTTTGCAATACAATTCATCTGTATATCTGATATGAAATATATAAGTATGAAATGATAAATTGATATTTAATTTGCTATTCATGGAGAAACCTGATATTGTAGTCAAAATTCCTGATTATTTTTCTGAACCCTCACCTAATTAAACAACTGTTCACAAAGCTCACCATTTAGTAAATATTCTGGTTATGCATAGATTGCATCATCAGAATTGAATGTCTCCAGTCATCATTCAATCAAACCTCATAAAGAGCTGCTTCAACATTGTGTTGAGAAAATTCAGTATCTTCCTGAAAATACAAATTAAGAAATATCACTTGAGATCACAGATTTTGTGAAACAATATGAAATGTTGCAGTACATTTCACTTTGAGAATACATCAGTATCTGGTTATTAGGGCTACCATGGCTGTTATTAAGCAGTTAAAAATTCAATCAATGAAATAATTGAACATGTCCTTACCTATTCACGAATTGACGAAGATGATTTCCACTTGAATGGCATTATTATTTATGCATATAATAGCGTTATTTGGCATGAACACTTCTAACCACTTCATTTTGTTGGCCTTTTCACAGTTTTACTTGGTATCTCGAACAAAGCTCTCCAATCTCGAGTGACAATGAGTGACAGGCTGACAGTGAGAAAATTTGTCAAAAAATAATGCAGGTTATGTTGAAAGCTCATTTGACACAGGAAATAGATGACGCCACTTGCCGTCCCTTCAAAATTTCATTACAGGGCGATTTGGAGATTTTCGCTGAATGAACAGTCATGTATAACCCGTCAGACAGTCCATTTAGCCGTCATTGGTCAAGACGATCCAACATACTCCATGAATTGCCTGTACTATTGACGCGTTGTCATTGAATGTAATTTGAAATTAATTGTCAAACAGCTCAAGCAACTGAGATAGAAACGTAGACCCGCTTGTTTATCCCCAAATACATGTTTCTATAGGCCAAAAATTCGTATCATAATGAAAATTACGTGTCTTCATTTGTCTAAATCTATGTATCATATTGAACACCCGTGCTAAAATGTGGTTAGCAGATATTCAATTCGCGTGTTGTATCACGGGAATAGAAAAAATACGAATGAATGGTCCATCAACGGGTTTTTAATCTGTTTCGGACTGTCTAATTGTTGCAATGATCACAAATTTCAATCAAGAAGTGAATCAAACATGTCGTATAACTTGCTGATGCCAATTCATGTATTTCGCTTTTGGATAATCACCTCGTATCTCGGCATCTTCGGGAAACAAACTGCTTCATCAAATATTCAATTAAAGACAAATAGAAATTAGCTTTTCTTTTTCGAGATGCAGACGATGTCAATTTGTATTTTCCGCGTTCTTTTAAATGAGAAAACAAATAATCTGATCTTATGAAATATTAAAGACCATTCGGTTAATTTTCCAACTGAAAAAGCTCATTATCAATAATTCATTTTCGTTTCCGTTGAAAATGATGAATTTTAAGGGTGAACATCAAGATGGCCGCGGATAGGTATTTTTGTTGATGTTCATCGAAGACGTATGACGCCGCTGTTCGAAATAAATAGTAAATTCAAAATAACATATATATTTCGGAAGTAATAGTAGATTGTTTTATTAGGATCAAAAGTGACACTTTGTTTGACAAGCGAATTTTGCATTTGCGAGGCGGAGCGTTTTGCGAAGCCGAGGGAAAGCAAAATTTGCGAGTCGAACAAAGTCACTTTTGATCCCACTGCAACCGAAACAATTAACTCAAATAAACATGTGAAGTAACCACCAATGCCGTGCCATATGTATGCAATGCAACAAATATTGACAAATAATCCATGTGGTGAGAATATTCTACCTGCATTAACAGCAGGTTAGGTTTTCTAGGATGTTCGAAGTGTAGTTTCAATATAAATACAACCACAAAGTGACATATTTGTGTATGGACCAGGTGCTCTAATGGCAAATACCGCGCCAGTGCCAGCTATAGGAACAAGACGTGGAAAATGTTAGGTTAGTGAGCATATCAACAATAATAATAGCGATTATTTATTCCCCTCCATACTACACTGTGTTTGACTTGATAATCAAATGAAGCTAAACAATATCGTTGTTTGAGACAAAAAAAACTATTGCTTGATGTGATTATTCAAAAACAAGTTATCCATCCCAAGAATAACGAATGAAATACAGATCAAGCAAGTATTTGAATCTTGAAGGCTTCCCTGATCTAAACAAGAATACTCAACTGAGATGTTTATGATTCCAATACTTAACTATAATAAGGTGTATTTATATCTCCAGCATGGGTATGAAATGCCAAATATGCTGAAATCGGAAACAAATCAAGTATGCGTCTCAACCCAAATAACCAACCGTCACAATGTTGTTTATTCTTGATGACGTCCAGTAGATCCTTTTTAGTTCCTAGGAGATAAAGTTCAACGTTAGCTCCTAGGAACTAAATATCTTGCCTAGCAACATACCTATTTTTGTGTCCGTGATAGAATTGTCAATTTAAGAGCTGATTTTGGTATCAAAATGGACGACTTTTATGTCGGTTGCAGAAAAAATACATTCGAATTGAATGAAAACATTCATCACTATTCTGATGGTATATTTTTATACTCGCCAATTCCGATTAGACATATTATCATCTCCATATTTCTGAAATTAAAAAGAAATAGCTATAGCGACATTCTATATTTTATACAGAAGGTTTCAAGACAATGACAGTTCTATACAGATACAAATTCAGTAAACTTCAAAAACAAAGTGATCTTTAGAATCCATATAACTATCTTCTATTAAGTTACAATATCAACCAGCGTGTGTTTTTAATTCTTTCGTCATATTTCATCATGCCGATTTTCCTCGCATTTTTTTTTCTCTTAGAGCGCACGAAAGTAAATTCCTACAATGTTCGTGGAACATAGTGCTTGTCTAGGGAGGATAGGGAGAGGAGGTATTAGGTGTTGGATTTTTGTTTAACTTTTGAAGGTTTATAAGTTCTTGGGAATACTCCCTGCGTCAAAGATTCCAATGTTTCGGCGTTCTCTAGAGGAACGAGTTTTGGTAGAGTGTTATTCATTCATTCATTCATTCATTCATCCACTTATTTATTTACTTATTCATGTATTTATTCAAGTAAAGGATTTGTTTGCAGGAACTACTTCCGCTTCATCCTCCTCTTTTCTCACCAGAATTCTTGGTGGTGAATGACACTGGGACGCTTCTAGCTGTAGCAGGTCCGTGTGGTGTTTTGGTTTTGCAGCTACCATCAAGATGCCCGCCATATGGGGCTTTCGAGAAGAACAAAGAAGTGGTATATTGCAGGTGAGTTTATGTTCATGATATACGATCCAAAACGAAACCATCTTCCACATTGGAAAAGATTATAAGTTACTTGGTCCTGGATTTATTCGTGCATAATTGGTCTTCTTGTGGAGTCTCAATAGAGGTGATTTGATGGTGAATAATCGATAATATCAATAATATTAATAATTACAATAATACTTTATTGAACAACAATGTCCAAATAGCTATCGATCATGAGACCTTCTGTCATTTTGCTGGTGAATTTCATCTGATTACACAGAAACGTTCCTGAAATATCGTTCTTTAAAGTTCTCCCTCGAAAACTATATGAATTTCTAGTTAAGCTGATTTCCCATTGATTTTATTCGTGTTCATTGCCTGTGATTCCAAAACAACTGCAACAAAAAGAACTTGATGATTCCTAAAATATGTAGTATACAGGGTGGGCCACCAGTAACGCCTCGGTCTCTAGAAGGCTAACCACTTATCTTCTTGGAATTCTTCCTCTCTAGGAAGTTGCATGTCAACATAGGCTACCATTTGAAATTATTTTGAAACATACAGGATGTCCCCAAAGATCACAAAACACTGAAGTTGAACTTTTTTCAATCGAACACCCTATATATTATTTCATTTTGACTCAATTTTGAGATTCTCCCTGGTGAGCTGATTTCAACGACCCATCATACTTGGGGTCTAGCAGTTATAATTACTTTTGTGTCGAAACCATTCATAATTGGTCAAAACGGCTCACATGTCCCTATCTCAACTTTTGATCAACTATCTACTGACATTTAATTGAAACAAATACAGGGTGGTGCAGAATTCAGAATCTTGATCACCCGGTATATGTCCCAATTAATTATCAGTAGATAGTTAATCAAAAGTTGAGATAGGGACATGTAAGCCGTTTTGACCAATTATGAATAGTTTCGACACAAAAAATTCTTGAACTTGGAAAATCTCGATTTTTCACACCCTATATTTCAGTAATTATAACTGCTAGACCCCAAGTATGATGGGTCGTTGAAATCAGCTCATCAGGGAGAATCTCAAAATGAAATAATACATAGGGTGTTCGATAGAAAAAAGTTTAATTTCAGTGTTTTATGAGGACACCCTGTATGTTTCGAAATAATTTTAAATGGTAGCCTATGTTGACATGCAACTTCCTAGAGAGGAAGAAATCCAAGAAGATAAGTGGTTAGCCTTCTAGAGACCGAGGCGTTACTGGTGGCCCACCCTGTATAGCTCAGATATTTCGAAAATTGACATTTCATTATTGAGTTATATAGTCAGGAATTAGTTTCTAGAAATCGATATTGGAGGATATGGTTCTCCACATATATTAGCTTTTTTAGAGATACGATGAATGAGCTTACAATTAATATAACAATTTGTTTATTCATAAACAAGACACACAAAGTCATCTCCATGTTGATGAATCTATTCACTCCACTTTGAGATACCATGGACTTTAACCATTGATTATACAATTTGTTTAGTTTCTTATTGATCCTGAAGATGTCCCTACTTCAGTTGAATGAAGAGGAGAAAGCTCTGAGTTATCTCCCCAATGTGTATTACCATTTGTTTATATTTGTATGGTACAAATCTTCGAATCCATATAGCAAATAGGATATGACAGTACGAGACCATTTTGACCTCTCACAATCTAAATTTCCATAAGGAAAGTTGATCTGGTCGTACTTGAGGTTATCTGCTTAGAAGTTGACGAGCAGTCGAGGATCGATCAACCACAGCGGAAATAACACATCTACAATAACAAGATGAGAAAAAAATCACAATTTTTTTTATATGTATAGTTTCTTTTGATTCAAAAGGTTCTCTAAGGACATGAAAAAACATCAGGAAAGTTTAACTTTTTCAAGAAAACGTCACGAAGGCTTCACACTTCCAAGCATGCATTGAAACGTCGAAAAATGTCACGAAGAAGTCACAGAAACGTCTCAATAATGTCAAGGCAACGTCACGGAAACGTCACGATAGTGCCATGCGCTTGTTAAAACGTTAAAAAGCTATAGAACATGCATGATAGTAGCCACTATTAGCATATTGGGGAAAAAATGGGAATATTAATTTCTGAAAATCTACTTAAATGAGCTTTATCTAACTGCAGTCAAGCCATTTTTTTTCTCGATGCGGAACTTACTTATAGTCAAGATCTTCTGGCTTTTTAGTGGTTACAAATCTTGGTACTCTTCTCATTGTGTCTGAAGATAGCCGTAGAGCCGAAACTATAGTCACACGCTGATTATTTTTATATCAAATATTGTGGTCGACTGACTGAGTTCGTCATTTTTCTCCTGTTGGAAACCAATTCGTCTTTGTACTGCAGTTGTGTATTAATCTCCCTACAATACATTCGAGAAATTTTTTTATTGATACATACATTCCAAATTATTGTATTCAAATTTTATTTTCATTTGGAAGTTTCTGAAACGATTTCAATCCCTGTTTACTAACACAAGGAATTTATATTATATGTTGATCATTTCGACAAATGTCAAATGGCACTAATGTCAGTAACAAGGCTACTGGGTGATTCTTAGTAGTTTTTATTGATGAATGATGAATTCGCGAACCAAGTTTTTTTCTTTGCAGGAGAAATGAGAAATGTTGTAACCAACTCGTATATTAAAAGGCGATTAATACACTAGTTGGTTGAATAACTATTTTTTTACACATATTGTTGAAGGTTATTAAGTTCTACTGAATTTGACATGAGATGAATGTGGCAGTGGTATCATGTGTTTCGCTCATCCTGTGTACTACTTTCACAGTTTTTTACATACGTAAAATTCAACAGTTCTTGAATAAAACAAGTGAATAAAAGTACAAGGTATGAGCAAACTGTCTCATTAAAGGTGAGTACCTGCATTGCCCAGAATGAACACCTTCATCTTTCCCTTTCTTGAGAAGGAGAAGTTACATAGGCAAACCTGGAAAGGAAATATGTTATAGCTCTTAAGTTTAAAAATTTGTACTGGTGGTTTCAGAATGTTTTTTCAGGACCTGGTTAAGATTGTCATTACCTACTATACCCACTGTTGGAAATTGATTGAACTATTTCTTTCATGTTTGAAATTTTTAGGTCTCTCCTTTTTACTTTTTGTCTCAGAGCCTTCACTTTTCTCCTCAATACAATATCCTTCTCTGATGAAACAGTTTGATTTTCTTTATTCATAAACTTCGAAACTTGGGAGCTGGAAGTGGTAGGCAAGTCAAAGTCAATAACATGAGAAACTTCTTCCTTGGACCCAAGTTATGAACGTCCACAGATGCATCCTGGAAACAAATTACTAGCTAATTTTTTATTTTGAAGAGGTGCAAACATACTTTTTTTTTTAATTATCAATCAACTAGGTACCTAGGAGTTTTCTTATTCTCCTGGGAGAATCAGCATTTTTTGGAACAAATGCTGAGGAAATGAAAATAGGTATACTGGGTACAGCATCTGGTTTCAAAAACCTAGCAGTACCTGGTTTGCCTACATAATCTGTTGGCAGGAAATGCTCCCCACAAAGCTTGCTGCTTTTAGATGGAGTCCAATTTTCTCTATGAACTGTTTTTATCCATAATTCGAGAATGTCTGGCCTATTGAATGGAAAACTGCAACAAATAATATAGGTATAGTTTTTGAACATATTCTGAGACTGGGAACATTGTATATCTAACTGAACTATATTTTCCAAAAATCTGAGAACAATAATCAACTAACCCATGGAATGCCAATTTCCTTTTGTCTTGTTCGTTCTTGCATCCAAAGGCGACACAATAAATCACCATTGTTTATCAATATTAAATCACAAACCTTCTCAACAATCAGTTCAGTGTTCACACCAACAAATTCAGTTCTTTTGATACAACAAAACACGACAAATGAATAGATATTTCACCTCGTATTTCACATAAACAAAGACAATGAACTTATGTCTTCACTTTCTTGCCTGTGTAGATGAGATAAAAAAATTCTCATCTACTTTAATTATCAGATAAAAGAAAATGTATACACCAATCCACCATTCAACAACACGAGTAGGAAAGAGACAGGTTACCGTAAATCATGCTATCTTTGTTGCAGCTGCCCCTGACACACTTTGTGCTCTTCCAGAGAACGACAGTCTCCCTTTCAGGTGTTTATATTGAGTTTATTGTCGTCAATAGAGAAATATAAAATAAGTGTCTACAGGGTTTCTTTCTAGGACAACAACCAGAGCGCCTTATTTGTTCGTGAAGATAATCTTTTATTTGTTCCATAGTTCAAAGACCGTCCGATTCTAATGGAAACCACCGTGATTAATATCTGCGACTCGACCATCCAATTTTTCTCCTTTTATTTGGCTAAAACGTATGCCGTATACACCTTAATGTATCTTTTAATGATAACCTATGAGTGTCTTTTATTGCCAGAAAATCTGCCGCTGCAAAAATTAGAATTCATTGTGTGCCGCCGCCATGATATATCGTTGGCAAAAAAGGGTGGCTGCGTCAGGGGTAATTAAGAATACTCCCCATTACATACGACCGATGGACACCTCTTTTCCCCTGATTTCCTAATCTCTTCTAATATTGGTCGTGTCTAATATGAAATATGACACCTTCTGTCGATGTGTTATGTTATTGGCAAGGTGATCGACCGTTGGGGGCGCTGTTTCAAAACAAGATGGCGGCAAAGAGTGTGTTGTTTGTTTACAAAATTTCTTGAGATTTGCATACATTTTCTTCTTGATATTTCATCGTTTTATTTGTGTTTATTGTTGAACTTTTTACTGAAATCATAATATTTTTTGTTGGATCATATTGTTTCATCGTGATGTGAGGAAAATAACTGTTACCTAATGACTGAATCGTGGACCAAATAGTCTGAGCTTTCTTCAAACCAGTGCATTTCTGTGGGGCAGCTTTATGGGATATCAAAAATCACAAGCATATCCACTATCATCAGAAGCTGATATATTCCCCATTATACCTCTATAACTCCACTCTTCAAGCAAAAGG